AATTTTTCTACGCATGGCATGCATACCACTGCAACTCAAAAGAAGAAACTGGAGAGTACTAAAAATTAATTTCTCAGACACATCACTGGAGCCCCCAGATCCATTAGGATGAGAGATCTAAGAAGAGATTTAAAAATCAACAAAATAGATGAACACATAGCTGAACTATGTGCAAGTTTCTTCAGAGATGCAATCTCTAGTCTTACTTGAAACTACTTTAAGAACTTGGAATTTGAGCTCATCAAGGACAACATAAAATATAGCACGACAACCGCCTTCTTCCTATCCGATGGAGATTTGTCCCGTAAGTTTGGTAAATAGTTGTAAATACTTGTATATATTTTTGCGCATTTATTATCATGTAATTTTCCTATTTCTCTGAGGCTATTTGGCTACTGTGCACCTGAGAAGCTAGGGGGTAATACCTCGGGGGGAGGCGAGGCAGTCTGCCACAAAAACCTTTTCTCTCTCTTAAATTTGTTTGTTTAATCCCGCTACTTTATTTTAATTTTCTCTCAGTAAATGTTACTGAACCCCAACTTTCATCTTTAAGTTGCGCTTCGGCGATTTATTATTTATTCCCACTCAGATGAATTAGTTAGAGCCCCTAGCGGGGCTGATGCTAAGATAACCACCACATATGAGTATGAGTATCGGCATTAGTCCCGTGCAAGATGCCTACTGCACTATTTCGGATGCCTACGTTGTGTCAGTTTTACGGGGTGGACCCCTATTACTTCCAGGACAACAATGCCAGTTGTCATGTTGCGAGGGTCACCAAGGCTTGGTATGGTGGCAATGGGACAAGGCAATGGGGTTAATCGAATGGACTGGCCTGCCCAGAGCCCATGCCTGAACCCTATCGAGAACTTCTGGGACGAGTTGAATAGCCGAATTAAGGGGTGTACTACCCGTACCAAATAGGTGAAGGAACTTACAAGTCTTCTCCTAGCCGAGTGGAAGAAAATGTACCACTAACTGACACACACAAGGACTTGTGGAAAGTATGTCCCGGAGGGATCACGCTGTAATTGCCTCTCGTGGAGGCTCTACCAACTATTGTTTATGAATAAAGTTTGTTTTCTTTTCAACCACACGTGTCCAAATACTTATTGGTAGATAGTGTATGATCTAACAAGGGTTTATAAGTCAGCTTTGTACTGAACCTGGTTATATATGTGTAACACTAAATAAATAAAAGTAGATAGAATATTGAATATGGGAGAATTAACATGTAAAGTAAGAGTGATTGGTTTTTTTATCATTCTAATTAACATTCTTTTTTTTCTAATGTACTCACCTCTTTGTCTTTTTATTATTTATTTTATTTAATTTCTTAATTCTTATCGTTAAATAGTTGTTGTTGTAGTTCATTTACGTCGCATTTGAGCTTCACAATGGGCTATTGGCGACGGTCTGAGAGACATGCCATCACAATTTTGATCCTCTGCAGAGGGGATGGCACCCCCGCTTCGGTAGCCCGACGACCTGCACGCGAAGTCGAGTACTTTACGGTAGCACAGTTTAACGAGGACCAATACCGCGCACCTTCGGTCCCTACTCAGACTGATCCAAGTGGTCACCCACCCGCACACTGACCGTAGCCAGTAATACTTGACTTCGGTGATCTGCTGGGAACCGTGTCTTAACGATCAGCTCACTGCGGGACGGATGCTTGTTTGACAGTCGCAAATAGCACATTGCGAAGTTATAGCACGACGTAAAAGACAACAGCAAGTTTTAAGCAAAACAACCATAATCTCTCACACAATAAGAAATTATTTATTTATTATTACACATTACATATGCAAGCTTGCATGCTCATTACAAAATCCAACTTATAAACCTTTATTAAGTTAGGTAGGTACTTCATTTACGTCACACTAGAGCAACACAATGGGATATTGGCGACGGTCAGGGAAACATACCTGAGGATGATCCGAAGACATGCCATCGCAATTTTGATCGTCTGCAGAGGGGACTTTTGTTAAGTTGAAGAACACATAGCACAGGACAGTGCAATGATGCATCTTGGGTTCGAACCTTCTATCTCTACGCTGCGGAGCGGCTGGGGGAACGGCACCACCGCTATGCCAGGGAAGCCCTGTCGGATTATCGTTAAGGATAACTGTCAAATCATCTGTAATGGCAAATAACTACCACGAAATTGGAAATAAAACAACGTTAAACTTCTCCGACAGATTTCGAGAAAAGTGACTTTAAAACTAGTTTCCTTCCATTACTAATGCTGTAAATGCTAAATTAGATTGATTGATTTGTTCATTTACGTCGCACTAGAGCTGCACAATGGGCTATTGGCGACGGTCTGGGAAACATCCCTGAGGATGATCCGAAGACATGCCATTACAATTTTGATCCTCCGCAGAGGGGATGGCATCCCCGCTTCGGTAGCCCGACGACCTGCACGCGAAGTCGAGCACTTTACGGTTGAACAGTTTAACGAGGACCAATACCGCACACCCTCGGTCCCTACGCAGGCTGATCCAAGTGGTCACCCACCCGCACACTGACCGTAGCCAGTGATGTTCTATAACGCTACTGATAAAAGTAGCTCTAGCTTGACGCTAAAAACAAATCAAAACCAAACCAATTTACAGCATAGGCTGCTGGTCCAGTCTGCAGTTGAAATTGCTTCTTATACTAATATTCATTTAAAAGTCCAATAGTAAACTGGTCGACACGGTATATAATAGTTACGACACGCTTCCTAGCAGATCACCGAAGTCAAGCATCGCTGGCTGCTCTCAGTGTGCGAGTGAGTGACCATTTTGATCAGCCTGCGATGGGATCGAGGGCATGCGGTATTGGTTCTCGTTAAACTGTTCTACCGTAAAGTGCTCGTCTTCGAACGCAGGTCGTCGAGCTATCGAAGTGGGGGTGCCATCCCCTCAGCAGAGGATCAAACTAGTGATAGCGTGTCATCGGATCATCCTCAGGGATGTTTCCCAACCCGTCGCCAATAGCCCATTCAGCAGCTCTAGTGCGATCTTAATAAATTTCTCTTCCACAGTGGACTGATCATTAAGACATGTTTCTCAGCAGATCACCACAGTCAAGCAGCACTGGCTGCGCTTAGTGTGCGGATGGTTGACAACTTGAATCAGTCTGCGAAGGGTTTGAGGATGTGCGGTATTGGTCCTCGTTAAATTGTTCTAGCGTTAAGTGTTCGATTTCGAACGCAATCATCGAGCTACCGAAGCGGGGGTGCCATCCCCTCTGCAGAAAATCAAAACTGCTATATCAGGTCTTCGGATCATCCCAAGGGATGTTTTCCGAGCCATCGCCAATAGCCCATTGCGCAGCTCTAGTGCGACCTAAGTGAACTACATCAACAGCAGCAAATAAATTACTACAACAGTATACATTAAAAACTGATACTTCTATCATCTGCCATTAATTTTAAATAGCTTCTCGGGGAAGAGATTTTAATGCAAAGCAAAATTTTAAAAAAAATCAAAATTTATCCATAATTTTGAGTTGTATGAGTGTGCAAGAAACAGAATTTTATTTGTTTATTTAAAAAAAAAGCATCCAATTAAAAAAAGGAAAAAATATATGGAAAAACTTTAATTTTATTATCATTTTTTAATGAAGTTTTCCCGGCGCAGTTATTTCGCTCTTCCACCTAATGATCTTCAGTGAGGAGGAAACAGGTTCGAATCCAACTCCAACCTCCAACCTTTGTGACGCCTTTCCCTAACTTGAGCAATATGTTCTTCAACTTGACAAGGCTTTATAAGCCGTGCTTTGTATTGAGCACCACTCACCCCTGCATATGTTGTTGTTGTTAATTTACGTCACACTAGAGCTATTGGGCTATTGGCGACGGTCTGGGAAACATCCTGGAGGATGATCCGAAGACATGCCATCACAATTTTGATTCTCAGCAGAGGGGATGGCACCCCCGCTTCGGTAGCCCAACGACCTGCACGCGAAGTCGAGCACTTTACGGTAGCACAGTTTAACGAGGACCAATACCGCACACCCTTGGTCCCGATGCAGACTGATCCAAGTGGTCACCCATTCGCACACTGACCGTAGCCAGTGATACTTGACTTCGGTGATCTGCAGGGAACCGTGTCTTAACGATCAGTCCACTGCGGGACCCCCTTCATATGTATGTGCAACAAAAAAAAATAAACTAGTGTAATAATTATTATATTGTATTGTATTGTAATTATTGTAATTATAACTGTTTGAAAAAACATATGAAATGAAATTTAATAGAAAAATCGTAGGTAATTTTTCTACGCATGGCATGCATTAAGCATAAAATCACATTTATTCCTTAAAATGAAAATAAAATTAATAGCAAACTTTTATTCAAAATAAATATTATTTTTATTATGACGAAACTTTCAACTAACTCACGATTTAAAATAACATATCGGATTCAAAACATTAAGCACTTCGCTTAAATCACATACAAACAATTGCAGCGCTTCTAATTTCAAATATCTGAAATAGACTTGTGAGGAAGAAAATCAAAAGGGTTGGGCACTTAAATTGTTTCTTTTCTTTTTTTTTCTTCATTTGCACAACATAGTTTATTTTCTTTATCAGATGCTCATTACAATGTAATTATTAAATATTGTACAACTGTGTAATTATAAAAGATAGTAAATTAATGTGCAATCATAAAAGATGAAGTAAATTAACAGTTTATAAGTTTTCGAAATTTGGAAGGATTAGTTATTAAAGACTCAGTGGCAGTGTTCGTTTTATTTTGCCTCTCTGAGTTTTACCGGAAGACACACCTCTAGAAACAATTTTGATTTGTATAAACTAAACTAATCCTATTATAAATACGAGTTATGTATATGTTTATTGAGAAGCTTAACAGCATATAAAATAAATTTCGTTAAATTCTGATGCTAATACTAGGCGAACCTGTTGCGACATGCTTTGTTTCTTGGCGTGAAATTTCCTAGCGCTTGTCGATCTTGGCGTTCAACTATAGTTATTCACAAAATGAGTCGCCAAAAAAGATTGAGTTTGCAAATTGTCAATTAAATAATATTTTTGTCAGAATTACCACGAACCAAAACTATTGGTAGGGTATTTCATTTTTATATCGTTCGAAACTGATATGAAACGACTATGCGCATTACTTCTGTAGATTTCATACGATTTGTGATAGACTTTAAGCTAGATTGCCATGAATTTTTCTGTTTTCTTTTCAAACAAAAATAAACAACTGTCATCGTCTCGATTGTTAAACATGGCTCTGAATTCTAGCTATGGAACTTATAGCTTCATTAATCAGTAAGTGATTTTGATTACATTATTTAAGAGCTTTTTAAGATATTTCAAATTGTGGTTTCTGTATTAAGCGATTTAATAAATGCCATCGTTTGAACGATATTTTTAAATATTGATTTAATTAAATTAATTTACATCCTTACTAAAAATTTACATTATGTACTTAATTGATAATGACTTAACACTCGTGCTTTTATGCTAATCTGATATAATAATCTAATGCTGAATTTATTTACAATTTTATGAAAATATTATTTTGAAAAGCATAACAATTTGTATATTTAAGATTTGATTTTTAAAATGTTTTGCCTTTTGAAGAAATTTTAATGGCTACAAGTTTTTCGAAGCAGTAAATAATTTTTTTAAATGTAATGCTGAATGCGTAAGTTAAGAGTGATTTAAATTTTTAAAAAAATATGTGTATTTATGCATATATATGTCTATACATTTATACATGTAAAAAAATCTATATATTTATACATATATATGCCTAAATATTTTCAAACTGCGGATCAATACTTAACATGCCAGTGCAGTATTTATGAATAATGCTGAATTGTACTTACCTATAGTGTATTGATTAACCTATAGTGGCCTAATGTCTCTTTTTTTTTATCTTTTTCTGTTTACTAACTTGATTCAATTTTGTCAAACAAGTTGAAAGCTTTCGGTTTTAATATTTAGAAATTGTTTTTAATACTATGTTTTTATTTAAACGTAGCCCTCTTAAGCACGTTTGACGTGTATACACGTCGAACTAAATTTCAATTAAGGTGCGTATAACGAGTATACTCGTTAAACCAAATATCTATCGTTGTGCGCACTACGTGTATATAGGTTGAACCAAATCTCTATGGCGGTGCGTGTGATGTGTATACACGTCGAACAAGATCTTTATAACGGGGCAAATGACGTGTATATTCGTCGTGTAAAATAATAAAAATTACCAATAACTGTCAAAACTCAAAAGTTTATTAAAATACAACACGAATATTACTTAGTTTTGTTATGTTTTTATATTACTAATAGAACTTATAAATGTATTTAATACTGCAGGGTGTAGAGCAGGGATGGGCAAACTACGGCCCGCGGGCCAACTGTGGCCCGCCGTAAGGTTTTATCCGGCCCGATGCATAGAATTTTAACTTGCCGATCCGTCACAAATATACATTATACATATTTGTCTACTTTGTTTAAAGCTAGCTTTTTTTTTCTTTTTTAATAAATTCAGATGATCTTTTTAATTTCTCCATTTTCGTTCTACAAAACATAACTTGATGGAATTAGCTTCAGACAGATTTTCAATTGGTAACTTGTTGAAAGCAGAAGTTCTTCATAGAATAGGTGTAGAATGGCACCAACAAGCGTTTGTCTTTCTCGAGGAGCAGTCAATACGGAATCTAAATGTAGGTGAATTGTGCTTCACATGAGGCAGACAGAGCATTTTAAGCTCTAACGAGCGAATTTTTCATTTTTCCGCGAATTATCTGCAAAAAAAATTTTTTTTCTTCTTGTTTGTAAAATTTTAATTGATTTATATCAGCAATGATGATGTCATTCCAAAATGCAAACTAAATTTTATGTAACACGTAAGGAATTTTTACAAATGAAGATTAAAAAATTAACAAAATGCAGTATAATGCATACAGTTGCAACTGTAGTTACTATTAACTAAACACAATAAAGCTGTTCATTTACAATATTATGATAACTTTTGTGTTTATCATAATAAGTTCTGACAAATGACTCGTAAGCTTTACTTGTCCAAGTGTTATTAGAAACTACGAGAAATTTTGTATACTATACTAAATCTTTCGTAAGAAATCGGTTGGATATGAAACATAGTTAACACCACAGGGGAAGTACCAAAACCGTATTTATTTAAAATGTTCCTTTTTAGATCTAGCTCTTCAACTTTTGATACCAAAGAGAGTGGCTATTTCTCGGAGACATTTTGTTCTTCTCCAGGCTCTAGTTCTTTGGATTTGGAGAGATCAGGAGAATTGTTCATTTCAGAAAGTTCGAATATTGTTGGATGTAGAAAAAGGAAGAATTTTATACCTCAGAGATCCTCAGATTTAAGTGATCCAACATTTCGAGGTGTGACCATCAGGATGGATAACAAGTTGGTGGATGGAGAATGGAAGTTAATTATTAAACCAACTTTCAGGTAACATATTTCAGTTGACCCTCTGCACACTTTTTGAAAAATGAAATGCATTATTTAGTGATAGCTTTTCATGCGTATTATAAAACTTTTTTTTTTTGAAATTTTAACTAAAAATGGTATGCATGCGTTGTATAGAATATACCTGAGCCTTATTAAGTCCTCTCTCTTAATAAACGTCTAACAGCTTCGACAATATTTATAAAAATGACTATGCTTTACAAAATATGAACGTCCCGCAGTGGACTGATCGTTAAGACACGGTTCCCAGCAGATCACCGAAGTCAAGCATCACTGGCTGCGGTCAGTGTGCGGGTGGGTGACCACTTGGATCAGTCTGCGTAGGGACCGAGGGTGTGCGGTATTGGTCCTCGTTAAACTGTTCTACCGTAAAGTGCTCGACTTCACGTGCAGTTCGTCGGGCGACCGAAGCGGAGGTGCAATCTCCTCTGCAGCGGATTAAAATTGTGATGGCATGTCTTCGAATTATCCTCCGGGATGCTTCCCAGACCGTCGCTAATAGCCCATTGTGCAGCTCTAGTGCGACGTAAATTCTGTTAAAAATTCCGAACTTAGTTGCACCAAAATTTGGCATTTAATGGCTTGCTACATAAAATGGAGCTCAATTTTGTTTCTACTAGCTTCAAATATCAGGAGGAGGTTGCACCAAAGATGGGTGTTTTAAAATCACCTAAAATGAGGAAAGTTGCACTGTTATTAGGTATTATTTGTACCAAATGTAGGGCAAAATGGCACCATAAATCAGTATTTAATTAACAGCAACATGCCTTAGCTGTTCCGATACATCGAGACCGAGCTGTAAAAAACATAGCGTATCATTCAGTTAGCTATTTTACAAGCTTTGTGTCTTTTATTAAGTTTTGGTGCCATCAATAGCACCATGGAAATATTTCTCGATCATACTTACCAGTTTTCGGTGTAACCAAAATAAAATACCCTTTCATTTAACCAAACTTTAGTGCAATGAGAAAATTTGCACCAAATATTGGTTAAATATTTACCGAGTATTTTTACAGTGTACACTGAGACTTTGGTTTGAAAATGTTGGAAATATTTAGCTTTCTTTACCATAAACCTGATTATCAGTTTACTCCATAAAATGTTACTATTAACGATTCCATCTTACGTAAAATAAATTAATTTCCCAGGTTTTATGAAAATTAAATATCCTTTTTAAATCAAAGCTCTTTCATAAAATTAAAAAATTTACTGGAGAGGAATGTATGAAAGAATTGCAAAAGGGAAATATGTTTTTAATTCCCCCAAAAAATGCACATTGATTATTTTTGTTTTCCTCCAATTGGGCTTGATCATGATTCTTTACAACTTGATAACATGATTTTTCCACTAACATTAATCCCGACCGTGAGAAAGTTTGTTGTCTAAAGATTTTTAAAGTATTTACTAGGAGTAGTCATTAAAAATTCTGTAGTTTTTCAGCCTCATATTGATTCTTTTTTATTTTCACGATTCACCAGTCTACCAAGACCAAAAAGAGTTTTTAAGCCATACCCGGATAGCTCTGAAGAGGAAGATATAAGTAACAACTACACTTCTAGCAATGAAGGTAAAAATTTTACATGTAGGATGGTTATCTGATTTTTGTTGTACAATGCGCGCGCAAAATAAAAAACGGACCACCCTGAATAACTCTTAATCTAATAATCGGATCTTCACGTTCTAAAACTCAATCTTAATGCTTCAAGGCAGTGACCTCAAATATGCTAATTAATTAGTACCGACGATATTTTAAGTTATGAAATCAGACACGAAAACGTACTTTCTCTGAATAAACATGCTTTTTTTCAGACAGATTCGGATTTCTCATCCCCAAAATATAGGGGAAAGCCTCTATTTGGAAAATATGGTCCCCTTAGTTTGTTCAGGAGAGCAGTCCAAACTTTGTACTCCTTCATGTTAATTTTATTTTTTTGCGTGTTTTGCAATATCTCGAGAACTTTTGAAGCGAATTGAAAACTTTTTGAACACAATTATAAAATTCATTTATTCAAAGATGATTCCATGGAAAATATAACTTATAGTAAATATTTATGATTTTTTATTATTTTATATAATAAGAGTGGAAATTTTTTAAATTGTAAGGTATATAATTTTTTACATAATTTTAAAGAATGTAATTTTAAATTGCTAAGTACAAAACGTGAACAAAATAGGTCGGATAGTTTCGAAATGAAATGAATTTTAAAAAAGCTAAATTTTTAAAATTCAATTTCTCATGAACTATTTGACCAGTTTCGTTTTAAATTTCGTATTTTGCCATAAAAAATTGCATACTTCAAAGTGTGAAAAAAATTTATACCATACAATTGAAAATTGTTTCGACTATTATGAAACAAAATAATAAAAATAAATAAATTTTTACTAAAAAGTTCTATTTTTCATGGAATCGTCTTCCGATAGACGAATTTTATAGTTATGTGCAAAAAGTTTTCAATTCGCTTAAAAAAGTTCTCCAGATATGGCGAAATACGCATAAAATAAAATTAACATTAAGGGGTTCAAACTTCGGACAGCTGTCCTGACCATACTATGGAGACCCTATTTTCCATATTGCAGCTACTCCCTATATTTTGGGAATCACAAATCCGAATCCGTCGCAAAAAGGGTATGTTTATTCAAAAAAAATTCGTCTTTGTGACATATTTCGTGAATTAAAATATCGTTTTCCTTTTTTAATTAGCGTATTTGAGGTCACCTCATTTGGATTGAATCCTAGAACGTAAAAATCCGATTATTAAATCAAAAGTTATTCAGACTGATCAGTTTATCATTTTGAGCACTGTACTTTTATTGATAAAAATATAGCATAACGAATTATTATATATATTTGGGCGACCAGAAAGTAATTTTTTTAAAATTAAATTTAAACAGATAGTATTTGAAGGGAACCAGAATGTATTTTCGAACAAAAGTTTTGATCTTTCGAAAAATAAAGAATATGTTTTATTCTGAGTAATTCAACACACCAAGTATAAGTTAATTCTCTAAAAACTTCCAGAGCCAATAGCAAATGTACTCAAACCTAAATTATAATAAATTATTATAAACCTAAATTATTATAAAAAAAAGTGAAATATACTTACTGAAAACAGAAAAATTAGAAACCCATTTTCTAAACTGGAATCAAACTGAAATATTTTGTTTAAAGTTATTTATCCAAATTTTTGCTTTTAAATCTGATTTTCTCAATTCAAACTTTTTCGCCTTACGCATTAGATTACTCTAGATCTAGCTCTTCAACTTTTGAT